CAGGCCATTAAGCTTGGCAGCAAGCACCTTTACCCAATGAGCCATCTCCCCCGCCCATGGATGACATTTTTGTCAGATGTTCGCATAAGGTCAGCAGGCAGTGCTGTTTTGTTTCACAGTAAATTCCACAAAGATAACAGAGAGAAGGCTGCCCTTTAAGAATTAATCATTTGTGACTCTTTGCCCCGGATGGCTTAGCTTCATCCCCACCAGGTCTACCTGGGTCTGGGTAGGAAAGCTAAAGGCAAACCACAGGCAGCCAGAGTACAGTGCAGGATTGACACTAGCTACTAAAGGACAGTGAAACATGGGTTGCCATGAGAACTGCTGGAAAAGAAAGTGTGTGGCAACTCTTCTCATCACTAAGAGCCGATACCTCGCAGAGGCAGCTCTGGGAAGGACTCACTCTGGCTCACAGTCAGACAGGCTTCACTATGAATGTCCCGTGTGTCAGGACACTTGGTCTCCAGCTGGTGCTGCTGCTTCAGGACATTGGGGCTGACCTGGTGGGACAGCTAGGAGTCCTGCATTGGTGGCGATCCTCACAGTCTGGCCATTGTGCTCTCTGCTTTGCTGAGGTGTGAGGAGAAGTGGGTGCACATTCCCGCCACCCCGAGTTCCAGCATGCCTCTCCCACCATGGTGAACCACATCCTCTCACACTGTGAGTCAAAACAAAGTCCTTTTTCTCTTAAGTTGCCTCTGTCAGGTAGTCTGTTACTGATGGAAAAGTAAAGCAGGCTGTGTAGAAGGCTGCAGTCCTACCCAGAGGACGGCAGAAACAGAGACATGGGCTTTTGATTTCCTGCGTTGCAGCTGTTCCTGGGGGTCTTTCTCTTGCTTCTACAATGCATAGTACACATTTCACTGTGACACACACCCTTTTATAATCTGGGTCCATTTTCCCATCAGCAATGTCTGTGACCCTTTCTCATCCCAGCACCCTCCCTGCATTTAAGCCATCACATCACTTATATTTGTGTTCATGCTATTTCCATCAACTGCTGACAGTACACTGTACAAACTGGACAAGCACGACACAAAAGGAAGTGACTGCTGAACCTTGCCAAGACAAGGTGGGACAGTCCTTCAGAAATCCTGCTTCATAGAAAAGTCTATCAGATATTCCAGACCTGTAGGCTGAAGATGGATGCCCCAACACTGCAGAAGAATCTTGGGTGACTGTCCAGGCAGCCAGCTGTTTCTGTTATTTCTTAAATTTGGGAATTTGTTTGCTCTGTAATTCCTGTTTACTCAGATAATATTATTTCCTTCTCAGGTCTCTGATGGAGCTGAAGACTAGATAGTTATAGTATTCCTTGTTAACAAATTCAGAAAAGAAACTCACCAAAGAGGTATAAAGTGTATAAGGTTGAAAGACACCAATAGTTTTGGGTTGGTAATGCAAGTTAGGGTAGAAAGTGAATTAGGTACAACATTTTGGACTCAGCAAAGATAGGATAGATAATGGAATATTTTCTCTGAATTTGTCAAATGCAAATGTACTAGACAGTGTAATTATTGCCTGTATATATTTGAATGTAGTTATCATACTTATTGTATATAGTTTTACTATGCTAGCTAAAGCCTTTGCTTTTTGTTTAGACAAAAAGGGGGAAATGTGTGATGTTTTGGTTGTGTTCTGATAAATAAAGTTAGCTTGGAGTCCGAAGGTGGAGCTAGCAACTAGCCAACCATAGAGGTTTGGAGGACTGTAGAGAGAGGGCTGAGAGAGGATCTTGGCCTTTTAGACTGAGGAACAGAAGAGGTAGGAAGCAATTCGCGGCTGCTCCCCAGCTCCTCTGATCTTTCAGGTTTCTAACTCCTGATTTTTTATTGATAAGATTAATTAGATTAACACTTTAGCACAGCGTCATAGTTTGAATTTCACAGTATCCCGAAATGTCTCCCATAGGCTCAAGTGTTTGGGCACTTGTACCCCAACAAGTGATGCAGTTTTGGAAGACTTCTTATGATGTGGAGGCTCTCTGGAGGAAATGAGTTACTGGGGGTGATCTTTGAGATTGTTTTTGGCTCAGCCTCACTTCCTGTCCACTTTCTACTTCCTGTTCTGACAAGATGTGAGGAGGTAAAGAGTCCCAGATGCACACTACTGCCACCATGGCGCCACCTGCCACCATGTCCTTCCCCACATGATGGGCTGTATCCCTTCAGATATAATGAACTCAAACCCTCCCTCCCTTCAGGTAATCTTTGTCAACTGTTGATCACAGTAGCATGGCAGTTCTTTCTTCATCTCATCTCGCTCCTTTGTCTTATCACAGGCAGTTAAAACGTGGCAACTGGTACTTTCCACGTTGTGTTGGAAAATCTCCTTGCAACGTTCACAAGACTATCAGGCAGGAGTCTAACACGGTACAGGACTTGTGGTCACCAACAGCCCTTGCTACCCTTCTTCCAGCTTCTAATGTGGTCCTGGCATTGTGCTCTCAGCTCTTCTTCACTGCTCTATCAGCTCTGCACATCCTTTCCAGCTTCCTCCTCCCTGACCCCACGCCACTGCACATGGGCTGGGTTTTCCTTAGCAGTTGTTCACTGTGAGACCCTCGTTTTGATGACAGTTATATATGGAAGCCATCTGCTTTTCTGGTGCTTTGATAAAGTAGCCTGACCAAAAAAGCAACTTAAGGAAGACAGGGTTTACTTTAGCTGACATTTTTGGGGTCCAGCTCATCATGGCAAGCATGTCAAAGCAGCATGAGCGGGAAGCAGCTGGTCACATGATGTCCACAGTCAGAAGGAAGAGCAGCAAATGCACGCTGCTGCTCAGTTTCTCTTCTCCATCTGTGTGATCTAGGTTCTCAGCCAGGGAATGGTGCCACCCAGAGTGGGCACATTCCTTCACCTCAGTTAGTACCATCAAGACAGTCCCCACAGGCACCCCCAGAGGCCCATCTTCCAGGTGATTCTGTCAAGTTGACAATGTAACATTAACCATCCTACTAACATGTCAAGCTAATTCCAAACCTAACACAGCCAGTATTTTTTATTTCTTATGCTTCTGTGAGTTGAATGGACGATTCTGCTCTCTAAGATGTTAGCCAGGACCTGCTGATCCATCTGGGTTGTGTGGGTCACTGAGCTTTCCTAGAAGGAAAGCTTCTCTCACCTGCTGAGGGTCTTGGCTCTGACCCTTGGCTGGAGAACTTGGCTCTCCTTGTCACCTTAGCTTCTCCATGTGGTCTCTCTTTCCAGGAGGGGATCCTGCCCTTCCTTATAGTTGCCAGCTGGGCTCCAAGAAAGCAAACCGAAAATGGCAAGGAAGAATATCATGGCTGTTTTAACTGTATTGGTCAAAGCAAGTCCCAGGGCCAGTGCTGGCTCAGGAGGGAAAACGGAGTAAGTAGAGAGAGGTGCAGAGATGGTTCAGTGGTTAAGATCATTTCTTGGGCCGGGCAGTGGTGGCGCACGCCTTTAATCCTAGCACTCGGGAGGCAGAGCCAGGAGGATCTCTGTGAGTTCGAGGCCAGCCTGGTCTCCAAAGTGAGTTCCAGGAAAGGCGCAAAGCTACACAGAGAAACCCTGTCTCGAAAAAAAAAGATCATTTCTTGTCCTTACAGAAGACCACCGTTTGGATTCCTGCTGTGGGATGTTCTGTATGGCAAATGTGTTGCTAATTAGTCAATAAATAAAACACTGATTGGCCATTGGCTAGGCAGGAAGTGTAGGCGGGACAAGGAGGAGAATAAAGCTGGGAAGTGGAAGGCTGAGTCAGAGAGACACTGCCAGCCGCCACGATGACAAACACCATGTGAAGATGCTGGTAAGCCATGAGCCATGTGGCAAGGTATAGATTAATGGAAATGGATTAATTTAAGCTGTAAGAACAGTTAGCAAGAAGCCTACCACAGCCATACAGTTTGTAACCAATATAAGTCTCTGTGTTTACTTGGTTGGGTCTGAGGGGCTGTGGGACTGGCAGGTGATAGAGATTTGTCCTGACTGTGGGCCAGGCAGGAAAATGCTATCTACAGATTCCCGCACCCAGAGAGTAAGTAGTTCACAAGCATCCCTACACTCCAGTTCCAGGGTATCTAACATCCTGTTCTAACCTCTGCAAGCACACATGTGCTGCACATACATACACAGATAAAACACTCACATATATAAAATAAAATTAGTTCATTTAAAACAGACTCCATTATACATGATGGAAGAAGTGTACCAGGGCAGGAGAAACTATCACGTGTCACATTTATGGACAAAATACCCTGCTAGGTCCAGGTCCCTATCTTTCCTCATCCTCTTCCCAACCTGATCCTTGCAGAGTCTACATTCTGAACTTGGAGCATCATAAGCCCAGGATTCAGAAACACACCTGAGTCTCTCTCAGTGTGTCTTCAGCTTTACCTTTGACCCCTGTTCTGTGTTTGTGGGTTTCCACATTGTTCATGGGACCTAAACTTGACCTCTTGTCCCTGTTGAAGTAAAGAGACTATTATCATAACGAGTACTTGGTAAACTCATTCTCCATATCATAGAAATCTTGGGAGCTCTGTAATATTTCTATTTTGCAACCAGAGTAGCTGAGATCCAGATGTGCCAGGGGGGGGCAAGGGAAGCAGTCAGTGGCAGCTCTGGGCCCTGAGCTGATTGTCTGTGCTAAAGCTGTCTGTGTAGCTCAGCTCTGCTCTCCAGAGCGACTTCGTTCTTCCTGGCTGTGGGACTGTGTAACTCTCATTGTTCGCCTTTGCCTGAGGCTACTTCTCATGCCTGGGCCTTCTGCCTGGCATCTGGGCCTTGCTACATACCGACTGCTGCCTAAGGCCGGTTCTGTCTTTTCTCTTTAAATAATTTTTTAAAAAGTACTCTATTAGCCAGACGGTGGTGGCGCACGCCTTTAATCCCAGCACTTGGGAGGCAGAGGCAGGCGAATCTCTGTGAGTTCAAGGCCAGCCTGGTCTACAAAGTGAGTTCCAGGAAAGGCGCAATACTACACAGAGAAACCCTGTCTCGAAAAACCAAAAAAAAAAAAAAGTACTCTATTAGTATATACCTTGTATATTGAAAAGTAGAATGTACAGCTTGAAGTTTTTTTTTTTTAACAATGTGAACACATTTTATCACCCACATCCAGAAAGAGACCATCACAGGAGCCCAGAAAACCCTCACCCTGCCCATTAACTTCCTATCCCTGCTGCACAGGTTAGTTCTTTAAGAGGCACTAGCAGTCATTGACTTTCTCATATGTGTACAATTGTGTCATGTGCATCCTTCCATATCTGATGCCTGTTGCTCACCAGGATGCTTGTGAAAGTCTAATTACAGCGCAGAGCAATGGAGTGTTGGTTCATTGCTGAGCAGGATTCCCACGTGTGGCATTCCAAGCACATGTGTCCATTCTTCTGCTGGATGTCTGGCTTGGCCCTGGGTCAAGATGTTACAAATGATACTGTTGTGGGTCTTCTTAGGCATGTCTTCTGGTCATATACATCCATATTTCTGCTCTGAACAGCACACCTAAGAGTTTAATTAATTGTGAAATAATAATTTAACAAAGTATCTGTACCAATTTGCATTTGTACCAGCAGTATATTAGGTTTTTTTTTTTTTTTTTTTTTTTTTTTTTGAGACAGGGCCTCACTATGTAAGTCCTGGCTAACCTGGAACCATCTGTAGACCAGACTGGCCTGAGACTCACAGAGATCTGCCTGCCTCTACCTCCTGGGTGCTGTGATTAAAGGTGTGCGCCACCACGCCCAGCTCCTATATGCTAGTCTATCTGTCTCTCCCTTTCTCCTTCCTCTCTCTATCTCTCTCTTCTTTTTCCCTCTCTCCTCTCTTCTTTCTTTTTCCCCCATGGGGATGAAACCTGGGGCTTCATGCATGCTGGACAAGTACAGAGTTTCACCCCCAGACCCTGACAATCTCTCTTGTATCAGCCATGCTCGTCATGTGAAGTGAAACCCTACTGTGGCTTTGATTGATGGGCTACACCTAATGTGGAGAACGTCATTGTTGTTTTATTGACTGACTGTTCAGGTATCTTGCTCATTTTCCTACTCTCTCTCTCTCTCTCTCTCTCTCTCTCTCTCTGTGTGTGTGTGTGTGTGTGTGTGTGTGTGTGTGTGTGTGTGTGTGTGTGTTTGGATAGGTCTGGGGAGATGCATGTATCTAGAAATGTGCTCAAGATGGACTATAGAAGGACTTTTTGTGGTTAAAGAAAAGCCAGAGTCTCTCAGGAACTTGTTTTCTGTCCGACAAAAGGAGTTATTTCCCTCGAAGAAGAAACATATGGATCATATACCTGTGGTACGTATCAGCATATCAAAGTCCATGCTGGCCTCCAGGCTCCTGCAGTCTCTAGTCACAAGTATGTATTACACATTTCTAATCCATGCTAGCATGCTGGCATCTCTCACTCACCCCCACTTATACCATAAACCCCCAGGCCTGCTCCAGCTCACAAGCTTCCCTCCCCCTAGCTACTCATCCCTGCATGATTTTTCCACTTTCCTAGCCCTGGCCACATCCGGTCTGTTTTTTTATTCTCTCTGCTCTGGCTATTTTCTCTCTCTTACCCACAATAAAAACCTTCTCCCCTAATAATGGAGTGGCCATTTCAGTAATTTCTTTACTGCATCCCCTTGCACACATACATACATACACAAACATGCACATATGAATATATGTATATAATTTGGAATAATTTCTTAAATATTCTCACTATGAGCCATTTGTTAGGTATATGAATTACAATGATTTTCCATATCCTGTAGTTTACCCTCATATACTTTTGTTCTTGCTGTTTTGTTGTTGTTGTTTGTTTGTTTGTTTTTTGTTTTTGAGACAGGGTCTCATGTATCACAAGCAGCTGGCCTTAAGCTCACTATGTAGCCAAAAAGATGTTCTTGAACTTCGGATCCTCCTGCCTTTACCTCCCAAGTGTTGGATTTGGGGCATGCACTATCATGCTGGTTTATGCAGAGATGAGGATTGAACCTAGAGTCTCATGCATGATGGGCAAGCCCTCCTCCACCCACTGAGCTCATCCTCGGCACCCCCTCTGTATATCTTCTCTTGGTGGTTTTGACAAGCTTATCTTCTAAGTATCATCACTCTTAGATTGTGAGTTGTTGATGTCTCCTTCCCAACAGAGTTGTCATTTCCTCTGGGCCCTCTATAATGCTCCCTGATGCCCCTGTCTTCAGGACAACATCTCTTCAAATGCACCAAATGCCCTTGGCATTCAATGTACCTGTTCCTGTCCTTCCAGGGCCAGCCTTTCCCAGAGGGCAGATCTGGTTTCCAGTTCTGGCACCTTTCAATCTTCTCAGGCTTCTCTGGAGTTGTCCCTTTGTGCCCATGGTGTTCTGAAAGTGAGTTTAGGAGGTCCAATCAACTGACTTCCAAGTGAACTTTTGGAATCTTTGACTAGGCATCGGATCCCCTGTGTGTTCTAGCTCTTTCTGTCTCACTCATCTAGCATCAAGAACTTCTAGCCAAAAAGGGCTGAAACATTAAAGCAGAATTGTGAGTCACCCCTGCAATTTAGTATCATCTTGTCAATCTGAGCAGGGCATGGGGGATTGTACTATGGAAAAATGAAACGCTTTTGTCAAATTGGTAAGAAATTCAAAGAATAATTATTGAGTACCTGATCTGTGTCAGTCAGTGTTCCAGATATCGATCTCTGCATGCAGAGCACTTCCAGTTCAGACTGAGAGGCAGGAGGTAAACAAGCCTGATAGATACATGTGGCACGCTGAGCAGTATGTGCTAAAGAAAGGAGAAGAGGCGCCATGCCAGTGATGATGGCCTGGAGCTTCTTGTGCAGTCTTCAGGCAAGGACTCACCCAAAACAGGTTGGGGTACTCAAACAGCGACCTACAGAGAGGCCGCCCTACTTTCCCTTCTGTGGCTGTGCTAAAAGAATCTGACCAAAAGCAACTTAGGGTTGATTTGGTTTACACTTCCAGGTCACAGTCCATTACTGAGGTATATATATATCAAGGAGTGAATTCAAGGTAGGAACCTGAAGGCAAGCCTGTTTGGTGGTGCACACAGCATTATATCCAACCAAGGAACTCTCCTCATAGCTGAAGGAGTACAGCAGGGACTAGAGAGAATTCTGCTTTCTGGCTAGCAAGCAGACTCAACTAACTTACTTATACAGTTGAGGACCACTTGTCTAGGGAATGATGCCATCCATAGTGGGCTGGGCCCTCCTTTATCAATCAGCAATCAAGAGAATCCCCCGAGAAACATGCCCACAGGCAGTTTTCTACTGAGGTTCCCTTCCCAGATAATTCTAGGTTATGTCAAGTTGACAGTTGAGGCTAACCAGGACAGGGACAATACCTAAGAGAAGGGACAATAACTGCAAAGGTCTTCAAGTGGAAGTATATCTTGTGTTTAGAATGGCGCACGTTATGGGAGAGAGGCAGGAGAAATGCGAAAGAGGTCAGAGATGCACCAAGGGTCATTGACCTACATACAGTGTGATGTAAGGCTACACTAATTCACTAGTGATACCCAGAGGCCAAGTTCACCATATGTATACATGAAGAGAATGGATATAACTTAGGAGCTGTTAAGAAGAGCATACTGTAGCCGGGCGGTGGTGGCGCACGCCTTTAATCCCAGCACTCGGGAGGCAGAGGCAGGCGGATCTCTGTGAGTTCGAGGCCAGCCTGTTCTAGCGAGATCCAGGAAAGGCGCAAAGCTACACAGAGAAACCCTGTCTCGAAAAACCAAAAAAAAAAAAACAAAACAAAAAACAAAACAAAGAAGAGCATACTGCAAAATATCAATCTGGATTTTTTTTGTCACAATTTTATACGTAAATGATGTCCTAATAAAGGCTTACTTTTGGTGGTAGTGATGGTACATGCCTGTAATCCTAGCACTTGGGTGGCTGAGATAGGAGGATTATGAGTTCAAGGATAGCCTAGGCTTACATGGTGAGTTTCAGGCTAGCCTAGGATACATAAGAAGACACTGTCACTAAACAGCAACAAGAAGTAAAACCATCATTAAGGACAGGACACCACAGCTGAGAGAACAGCCCAGCACAGCCATCGGAGGAGTGGGCTGCAGTCACACTCCTAGGCCAAGGGTGTGGCTGTGACGCAAGAGCTCTGAGACACTGGGTCCGTAGACAAAAGAAGATTCAAGGAAAGGGGCCAGGATACTGGAAGAGTTCAACTAAAAATAAACAAATGCCCAGACCTGTGCTTGTGGTACCAATACTTAGGAGGTAGAGCAAGGAAGGCCAAGAGTTCAAGGCCAGGGTCAGTGCACAGTGAGTTCAAGGCCAGCCTGGAAAATGAAGCTCTGTCTCAAAAAAAAAGAATAAGAAGAAAAGAAAAAAGAAATTGTGTTTGGAGAGATGTGTCAGTCGTTAAAAATGTGAGCTCCTCTATCATGAGGACCAAGGTTCAGATCCCAGCACACACAGAGATGATGACGACGACGATGACGACGTTTTGTTAGAATTCTCTAAGAAGCCATAGAACCAATATTTACTTCCTTTTCTGATTTACTTTTTTTTTTTTTTTGAGACAGAGTCTCATTATATACCCTAGGCTGGCTTGAATTCACAGAGATCTGTCTGCCTCTGCCTCTGCCTCCTGTGTGCTGGGATTAAAGCCACGTACCACCTCATCCAGCTTAAGTGGCAATTTACAAAAAAAAGGTTATTTGAGGACTGGAGAGATAGCTCGGAGGTCATGAGTAAGCATTGCTCTTGCAGAGGATTAACTCCCAGCACAACATGGAGCAGCTTGCAATTGCTAGAACCCCAGCTCCCTGAGTGTAGGGTCTGCTGTCCCTGACCTTGGGCACCAGCACTCACATGCATGTAACATGTACCATGTGCATGCACATAATTAAAAATAGTGAGGGCTAGAAAGATGGCTAGCAGTTAAGAGTACTGGTTGTTCTTCCAAGAGGACCCAGGTTCAATTCTCAGTACCTACAAGGTAGCTCACAACTCTAACTCCAAACTAGGGTATCTGATGCCTTCCTCTGGCCTCTGAGGACACCAGATACTTTACATGATATACAAATATACATACAGGGAAAACACCTATACATACAAAATAAATAAACAAAAACAAGTTTGAAAGTTTTGCCTGTACAATACTGTTGTTTTTTTTTTCCAGAAAGCTCCTCTGAGATACTGAATTCAAAATTTCCCAATGTTTAACACACACACACACACACACACCCCTAAACCCGTAGCTTTGCACATGCTAGGCAGGCGCTCTGCTACTGTGCTTTTCCCAGCCCCCAGTGTCTTTAACAGGACTGCATCCACTCCCTAGCTCCTTTTCTCTAGAAAACTGACCCCAGCACTAAAAGCCTTCTTTAGAGGGTACAATTATTTTCCATCTAAGGAATGCCATTAAAATAGTGTGACCCAAAATATGCCCTATTGAAGTCCTGGTATATTGTCTCCACTAAGTTATTTACATGAAGTTATTTATAGGAAAAAATCATGCATATTAAACTTTAAAACCTTAGAGGTTGATTTAAGACAAAAATATGACACTATACAAAAAGTTATTGATATGCATGGATAAACTAGAAAAATACCTTTGGTTGCTTTTGTTTAAAGTTATCAAACTATAGTTTTTGAAGACTATATTTAAATATTTATATTTATGGTGGGTGTGGTAGCACACACCTTTAATCTCAGCACTGGGGGAGGCAGAGTCAGGTAGGTCTCTGTGAGTTCAAGGCCAGCCTGGTCTACATAGTGAGTTCCAGGATAATCAGGACTACATAGTGAGACTCAGTCTCAAAAAGAAAGAGAAGATTATGTATTTCTATTAACTATATTTATATTTAATGATATACAACTTATATTTTTAATTTTTAATTTTATTTTACGTGTATGAGCATCTTGCCTAAATATATGTTCACTTGTATGCCTGGTGCCCCAAAAGAACAGAAGAGAGTGTCGGATGCCCTGGAACTGGAGTTACAGAAGGTTGTGAGCTGCCATGTGGATGCTGGAAAAGAAACCCTGGTTCTGTGACAAGGCAACCAGTGCTCTTAACCACTGAGCCCTCTCTTTAGTCCCTATAATTGAAAAAATCTGACATCCCACACAATAGGATGATAATGGTCTGTTCCTGGCTCCGGAATGTTGGCTTGTTAAAGACTTCCAGAAATAGAATTAGTGCATTAATTGGAATGCACATATGTCGAGTTCCAGACACATGTTTCCAAATTGCTTCCTAAAGAGTGGTAATTCCTTACCATATTACTGGTAATGTGTTAAAATATGTCTTTGTCAGGAACAAGTAATATCACTTTGAATAATGTTATTAAATATTAAATGATAATAAATTAATAAATATTACTCTATATATTTTATTACTTCAACTTTTTCTACTTTTCTTTTTTTCTTCTGTTTTTTCAAGACAGGGTTTCTCTGTGTATGCTTAGCTATCCCGGAACTCACTCTGTAGACCAGGCTGGCTTCCAGCTCAGAGATCTGCCTGCTTCTGCCTCCCAAGTTCTGGGATTAAAGGTGTGTGCCACAACTGCCCAGCTACTTAAACATTTACTAGTTTAGTATACATGTACATAAGATGCATATCTTTCACACTTGTTAGTGTGTATGTGTATGGGGGGGGCACAGAGGAGGATGTCAGGTGTCCTGTTCTGTCACTCTGCCTTTTTCCCTTGAGACAGGTTCCCCCATTGAATCTAGACTAGGCTGGCAGCCAGCAAGCCCCAGCAATCCTCCTGTCTCCACTGACTCTGTCCTGTGGTTACAAGCATACCCAGCTTTTGTTTTGTTTTGGTTTGGTTTGGTTTTTTGTTTTTTTCTTCACAAAGGTTCTGGGAATTTAGACTCAGGTCCTCGTGCATACAAAGCAAGTGCTCTTAACCCACCAAGTCATCCCCTTGGCCCCTGTATTTAACTTTTTGTGTTTGTTTGTCTGTTTTTCGAGACAGGGTTTCTCTGTGTAGCCCTGTTTGTCCAGCAACTCACACTAAAGACCAGGCTGGCCTCAAACTCAGAGATTCGTCTGCCTCTGCCTCTTAAGTGCTGAGATTAAAGGCATGGGCCACCACCATCTGGCCTATATTTAACTTTTTAAAGATGTAGAACATAAATATAATAAACCATTTATTATCATTAGTTGGCATTTCTAAAATCTATGTCAGTTCTGGTCTTTTTCAATTAATCAATAATCAATATTTGTGGTGACAAGTAGTTAGCAAAAGTTAGCATAGTATGAGGCAGAGAGAAGGAAAGGAAGGGACTAGGGCTTTACACACCTATAATTTAATGGGTTTATTAAGCAGATGACTGAATGGTTCTCACTAGCTGAGAACAGCTAAACATTTTTAA